AAAAAAAAAAAAAAAACTTACATAAAAGGATACTTATTTTGCAATTGAAAAAAAATCTGTAAGAGCAAAAATACCTTCTGAAGGAGCTGAAAACTAGGACCAACCTAAATGTCTATAAGAAAAATAATAAACTGTAAGACAGTTGTACAGTCATTTTAAAAAATGAGACATAGCTATAGATGTGTTGTAGAAAGATCTATAAGATCTATTATTAGTTTAAAAAATGTTAGACAGAAGTACATATACTTTAATCTTTTGCATATAAATCATAAATACATAGGCTTATATATATATAAGTTATATATATATATAACTATTTCTGGATAGAAACATACGAAAATGTTAACAGCAGTTAGCTCTTGGGAGTGGAAATAAAAGCCAAGCTGACGAAGAGTAGACTTTACTATTCATTTATCACTCTTTTATACCATTTTTATGTTTAGCCAATATATACATATTACTTTTGTGAAATTATAAAAAAACATAAATAGTTCAAAAGCTGAGTGGAATAGACTGAAATCCTGCTCTTCGATGTGTTTCCTTGGTCTTAATAAGCTATTTGCCAAGGTGTCTGGGTGGCTCAGCTGGTTAAGGTCTGACTCTTGATTTCTGCTCAGGTCATGATCTCGTGGTTTGTGAGTTCGGGCTCCACACTGGGGTCTGCACTGAAGGCACAGAGTCTGCTTGGGATTCTCTCTCTTCCTCTCTCCCAGCCTCTCCCCTGCTCATGCTCATGCTCGCTCTCTCTCCCAAAATAAAAAAAATATTTTTAAAAAAAGAAGGTTTTTTTTTTGCCTATTCCGAATTTAAACATTTGGTCCATAGACAGCTTTTGAATTGACAGGGCAGCTAGCTTCTTGGAACAATGCAACATAAACATCCATATCTTTTCCTCTATCACTCGCACAGTCTGCTTCTGTGCTCCTCTGTGGCAGGGAGGGCGGGATTGGCGAAGTTCCTTACCGGTGTCTGATTTTACAAATGGCAATGGACTGGAATGGGTACAAACTAGAGGATATTTACTCTAGATCGTTGATGATTCAAGTCCACAAACTAATGCCTTTACCATGCAAGACATGGGGCCGGGTTTACAGAGACTGCAAAAATAAACAATAGACAGTTTCCTACTAAAGAGTTTAAAACCATGGGTGACTACAGTGGATGCTGCTGGGTCCCATCAGATCCTTTCCACCAGTCTGAGCATGTATTTCCTAGCTGCCAGTGTTCGTTGAGAACAACTCTTAGCTGCCGGCCTGCTCTGGAAAACAGCTGTTAAACCAACAGAAGCCACCAAGTCTGGGAAGCTACAAAGTTGCTGCCTGATCCCCCAGACGGAGGCTCTGCTTCTCAGGAGCCCCACCCAAGACAATGATACAACACAAGTGCATAAACAGCACACAAAACAGAATGAGCTGAGTGTTAGAACAGGAATAAAGTATGTTGAAAAAACTCACAAGGAAACTGCATCTAGGAGCATGAGTGACAAGTTAGGTTCATAGCAATTTAATAAGCAGGCCAAACACACCGAGGTGCATGCAATATGGGCAGGGATTGGGGAACTCAGTCATAGGTATCAAAAATAGCCATACTAATTCATGACAGAGGAGATGTCATTTAATACCAACACATATTTGAAAAGGAGATTTCAGGGTTTTCACTGAATATAAGTGCAGTTAGGAGAAAACAGCTCCACGGTCACCACAAATCTGGTAGCACAGGCTGCAGTCACAGAAGAAGAAAGGGCATTCATGGACAGTGTATTTTAAGGCATATTGTTTATTTGTGGGCAATATACTTAAAAGGGAACACAAACATACCTAAGTACAAATGCAGAAAATCTAAGGGGACAGATTTAAGCTGTCCAAAGCCAGAATGAACAGACCGGTTTTGAAGACACTGAATTTTTTTAATCTCTAAAAATGTTTTGGTAGGAGCTAGAACACAGCTTAGCTTTGTATAGAATCATACTTGTTGATAAACAGGAAATTCAAATATAGCTGAGATGGTTTGAAGGTTCTCCTTTGGTTGCATTATTATGCTTCTGGCTGGAGTAGGAAATGAGTGTTGTAGAAGTGAGAATCCAGAGGTGCTTCATGGAATAGATGTCAACTGAACCTGAACTTGGCTTTAAAGGGAAGATAGGACTTCAGAGAGTGGAGACAGGAATAACAATCCTTCTTTTATACAGTGCACTCTGACTTACACTTTGTATTGAAATCACATAGGGAAGAAAGTTGCCTCAGTTTGAAGGGGAATAAAGAAAGAACATTTATTCTATACCTAAAGATGTGCCAAGTATGGAACCAGATGTTTTATATACCTTCCCGCCTTTAAGCACGACCTTATTTACTTTTTAAAATTTTTTAAAGGTTTACTTATTTTTTTATTTATTTATTTTTTTTAAAATTTTTTTTTCAACGTTTATTTATTTTTTGGGACAGAGAGAGACAGAGCATGAATGGGGGAGGGGCAGAGAGAGAGGGAGACACAGAATCGGAAACAGGCTCCAGGCTCTGAGCCATCAGCCCAGAGCCTGACGCGGGGCTCGAACTCACGGACCGTGAGATCGTGACCTGGCTGAAGTCGAACGCTTAACCGACTGTGCCACCCAGGCGCCCCGAGGTTTACTTATTTTTGAGAGAGAGAGACAGAGACAGAGTACAAGTGGGGGAGGGGGCAGAGAGAGAGAGGGAGACAGAATCCGAAGCAGGCTCCAGGCTCCAAGCTATCAACACAGAGCCCAACATGGGGCCCAAACTCATGAGTCATGAGATCATGACCTGAGCCGAAGTTGGAAGCTTAAATGACTGAGCCACCCAGGCGCCCCAAGGCACCACCCTATTTATAAGGTAACCAAGATCCAGAGAAAAAATGGGCAAGGGGTCTTTCATTGTTTGAGTGTCCATGTATCCATAAGCAATAAGAAAATAAATTGCTATTCTTTTCAGACCCTACTAGAAAGAAATGTTCTGTAGAACTATTCTTATTCTGATGGACACTAGGAACTTTACATATGTTATCCCTTACAAGGCTAATATTATTTTATACATCAACACAACAATGCATGGAAGTTTCACTTATGTGGCTGGTAAGTAGTGGAGCTGGAGTTTGACTTCCCAGAGATCACATTCTTTCATGGAATCTGGCTACCCCACCTAGACAAAAAAAGGCAAAATGACAAGCTACTAGGTTTGGACTTCATTCCATAGGCAGTGGTGATAGCCATGGTGGTATTGGTCTATGAGTGAGGGAATGACAGAATCAGAAGTTAGCTACAGACATCAAAGGATGATCAGGTGTACTAAAGAGAAAAGAAATCAGAGGTAGATCAACTAATTACAGAGCCATAGAGAGTTGCTGCCAGAGATATCCTGAGCAATACTCAAAATATCCATGGAAAGTGTAAGGAGTCTCAGAAATTTGTGGTTTGATTCACTCACGGGCAGAAGCACGGGGAGTATGGCAAGTCTTAGCCCAGAAGCAAATATTTACCAAGTAACCACTTCCTGTGCAGCACAGAGCTTGAGGAATTTATGACGGAGAGAAGACATAGCAACCAACATCTTGACGAAAGGACACCCCATTGGAAATGATATCCCAAAACAGTAATCCTTTTAACTGACCAGCTGAAAATAAAGACAGAGAAATTAAGAAAGTAGGTATGATAACTTATTCATTCAGCCAAAATCCATGAGTGATTTATTATGTGCTGAGGACTATACTGTCCATGAGTGATGATTTTAAAAAAAAAAAGTGTCCCTATTTAAAAGAAATGTAAGCCTAGGGGCGCCTGGGTGGCGCAGTCGGTTAAGCGTCCGACTTCAGCCAGGTCACGATCTTGCGGTCCGTGAGTTCGAGCCCCGCGTCGGGCTCTGGGCTGATGGCTCAGAGCCTGGAGCCTGTTTCCGATTCTGTGTCTCCCTCTCTCTCTGCCCCTCCCCCGTTCATGCTCTGTCTCTCTCTGTCCCAAAAATAAATAAACGTTGAAAAAAAA